TGGGTACTACATCCAAATTGAAAACACCGAAGAGCATTGCCTGCCTCTGCCACCTCCTCTCTAGAGTCGATGCGGACGCAGGTTGCCATGTGGTGGACACCGAAGCTTCAGTGTTTATCCAGCTCTGCATTGGTCTGGAAATCTTTCTGTGTTCTAACCTCTCTCCATTTTTCAAAAGAATCTCCAATATTGATCCTAGTTTTACCACGTCTCTGGTCATGAAGCTTATTAGAAAAATGCAGAGGCTTTTAAGGCCTGGTAAAATCATTGATATCTGAACCAGTTCTGATTACTGGTTTCCTTTCTGCAGCATGTTTCCTTAATGTCTGATGATATAGTAAGGTCAGTTTATGATTTAATTCAGCAGATATCTCACGTAATGCTCCTTTAAAATTCTTATTCATTTGTTTAACAGACTTCTCTCTAATGCCAATAGTGAAATTAGATTTACCTTCTACTTTGTTAAAAGTATGCATGCATGCTCATCAAACACGTGCAATAGAAATAACACTTTGAAGCTGATCTCTTCAAAAAGCAGAGAAAATCAACTGGTGTCAATTAGATCAAGAGCTTCCAATCACACATACTGAGTCTCCCTCAGATCAGGCAGCAGGATGTTAACTCTCTCTGTGGTGAGGATGAGGACTGAGTCGGTGTGATCGACTGGTGCCTGGTCGCCTGATTGCAAGATGTCATGATTAAAACTGTGTGTGTGTGCGTGACAGTCTGAGAACAGTAGATTGATGTGTGAAGATGAAAGGATTACAGGTCTTCGTTATTATTCCTCCCTTCTGTTCAAATCACTCCAAACACATGCACCACACACACACACACACACACACAAAGACACAGGCAAAGAGACCTCCTGAAACAGATCACTGGTATGGCATATGTGCAGTTGTAGCAGGAAAAGTGATTTGACTACGTAAACAAATAGCAGAAAACATTCTGGGGCAGTTGATTTTAAATGTAGTAAAAAAAATATCAAACTAACACAAGATGGTGCAGAATTCTTGCAAATGCTGATGTCCAACTGTATTATGAATAAAGTTGTGTGTAGCTGGACATGCCTTTTTGAGCAAACTATTTGTTGTAACCGTCAATCACAGGTCGTAACAAATACAGACAGACAACCAGCCACACTCACACACACACAGCTACGGACAATTTTAGAGCCACCAATTAACCTAACGAGCATGTCTTTGGACTAGGAGGAAGCCGGAGTACACAGAAAGGCTCCTTTTCTGACAGGGATTTGAACCACTGCGCCACTGTGTAGCCAATGAAGAACTGTCTGAACTTAATATTAGTCCATGCAAATGTACATAGTTTGTTTTCTCCCTATGAGGTAAAGCCGACATAAGCTCATGCAACCCTTCTATCATGTGCATTATGCATCTAAGCCCAGAGGGAATATTTGTAATACTTGTGACAGCGCCAAATAAGCATGAAATTAGCTATTTTACAATTGGACATTTCATTTGCTGTCAACGACAACAAAAAAAATGTATTCCACATTTATTGTACGAGTCCAAGGATGCACAAGGCCGTAATGCTTCAAATGTAAATTCCTCCTACATACATCAAAAGCAGGGCTCTGTTGGTTCCTCATATTATTTCTCTTTCTGTGATAAAGCGCTGAAAAACATGTAGATCTCAAACTAAGGGGTAAGACTGTCGCCAGAGATGTGTGCAAATGAGTCTCTCATGACCTAAATTATGATATCAGTCTGGTGAGAATTGACCTTTAAAACCCCAGGCTCTATTCGTCGGCCAATAAAAGAAAACCATTTTGCTTGACGCATCTTTCCAGCTTGTATTCCCCCCCCCCCCCCCCCCCCCCCCTCCCGTCCTCTGTGACTGCATCCTCTTGTGTAATCTCAGGAAAACAGAGAAACAGGGAGAAATGGAAGGAGACTGAAGGGGAGAGAAAACAGAGAAAAGTAATTAAAACAGAGTGCTGGGGAAAGAGGCGCGTGCTGGCCTGTGACCGGTAGATGCAGCCGCATTGAACCAGAGACTGCAGTGGGATTAACAGGGGGTCTAATGCTCTGAGGATGCTGGGGAAATGGCCTGGCCTTGTGTGTTTGTTTTGAGCGAGGATGGTGTTTTGTCATGAGCATTTGAGGAAACAAGATTTTTTTTGCATTTATTCAAGTGTGTGCAGATGTAAAAAGCTGTTTGTGCTTTTAAGGAAAGAGAGAGTGGAAAAAGTACAGACAAGCTGGCAGGATGAAACGAGAGGATTCGGCTTTATCACGATCTAAAGATGAGGGAGAGAGATGGAGAGATACAGGAATACTGCAGAGGACCTGATTGTACCTGACAAGCCTTCAAAGTCACTCTTTAAAACACAGTTTTTGTTTGTGTTTCACAAGATCCACACTGTGTGAAAGATGAGCCACAACATTCACAAAAGATCTGCTTCACCAAACACTGAAGACTCATCAATCAATTAACAGTTTTGCAAAGTGTTCAAATTAAAAGATCGGCTGAATGAGATATTGACCCTCCCTCTGAAAGAACAAATGAATGAATTAATTATGATGAAGAAATGACATAAGGACTTCTTAGAGAGCTGGAAACACTAATGTCCAGATCTGCAATCTACATTATTACACATTCTCTCGCAGGCTTGTTGTGAGGTTTAGAAGATTGCCTCTTTTTACTAGACACTGATAAAACAGGCCTCTGGTGTCAAATGAATTGCCAACTATATGATAATTCCACATTAGCATCATGTTGGCGCTAATGAATACGGATTGTCAACTGCATCTAGCATGAACATAAAAATGCTAATTACATGATTTCCTTAATGCCACATAAACAAAGTATCATGGTTGAAAAAAAACCTCTGCCAAGGCTGCACAACCTGAAGAATAGATTGCACTGATAGACTTAATGACTATTTAACAGTGACATGTTTATATTTCATGTTGACTCTGCACTTTATTCTAATGAAAGCTCTTAAGAGGATCACTGTTGTTTCCTCGAAGGCTGCTATATTCAGTGTCTCTTCCATCTTACATTTTAACCCTATAAGCTTTTTAAATATATTCTTGTATTTTGTCTTTTTCCTGTCCTGTTTTGCCTTGCTGTAAAAACAATCGCCCTTAGGGGACAAATAGGGTTGAAGTTGAGTTGACTTTCAAATACACTCAACAGATGAAAACATATTTCAAACAGATAAAATACTTGAACCTAACCAAAGCTCTACAGCTGACCTTGTCTTTTCACATATCAACATACTGACATGCTCATGGGGATAATTGATGCATCTTATTGGTTGGCAGATATATTTGCAATATCTCAGTTGGTCATGTCCACTTGCCAACACTTGCATATTTGCAGACGATATCGTCATCAGCTGTCCAGGTGTCAGAAAGTATAGAAAAAAACAAACTAGAGCTCATGATGGTGCTTTTTGAAAGTTAAGGAGGTAAACGTTTTCACATGCATGAATTGCTGAGATGAAATAAACTAGAGCTTTACATTCCCCAGAAATTCAAAATGAGCATCATCTCTGCTCCTCCGACTGTTCACTTGCTTCCTTTAGCTTGATCATCATTCCTTCTCCGTGTCTCACATCTCACTGGTTTTTGGAAAATGCATTTTACTTTCTGCTTTTTGCTTTACTCGTTCTCTCTCTCTCTCTCTCTCTCTCTCTACCCCCACACACCTTCACTGACAAATCCTTCAAACTCTCTCTGTTTCTCTCTCTTCTTCCCCTGCCCCTCCCCTTTCTGTCTCCCGTTCCCCCTCACTGTGATAAGATAGACCACTGTTCGACTGGTGCTTCGACCTGCTGAATTTCAAACAGGCCCCTTCGACAAAAAACTCAGAGCCCCAGTCTCCTCTCTCTGCTCTCTCAGAATGTAAACTAGTCCTGCTGCTGCAGAAGCAAGAATCCTGCACCCTTCAAGCTTACCTGAGCTTTGCAGATCTGTTTGTTGCAGTGACGAAATGAAAAGAGGGGTGCAGTGTGGGTCACCGCTCTCTGCTCACTGGGTAAATACCTTTGGATGTACTTAACATAGTCACTTAACATAGGCACACATTGTTTTGCTCCATGCCTATTATGCACCGCAATGTGGTATACTTAAACCATATGTTTAAAAAGGAAAGAGAAAAGAAAGGCTGTGTGTGTGTGTGTGTGTGTGTGTGTGTGTGTGGTTATTGGAATATATTTAAAGTTATCACTGATGGAGACTGAAACAAATAGCAGCATGTAACCAGGTTCTTATTGTGCTTACCACTATACTGCAACTTTAAATAAGATAAAATAATAATATTAATAACTTAAGTTCATCAGAAGACTAAGATTAAGCCTGTTTTTCAATTCCTTCCTCTTTGTTTAACATAATGTCTCATGAGAAGTCTTTGGGAATAAGCCAGCATGATATGAGAACAACAAGCAACATGCGCTGACACTGTTTAATACCGCTACTGCGCTGTGAAGTGTTATGAATAAACAACATGTAGAAAGTGTGTGTCTTAGCTAGAACTCACAGTTTTTTTTATGTCCATCTGCTTTCCTTTATTTCCTGCACGTGTTTCAACTGAGCTTGAAATAAATCCTGTAGCATTTTGTTCCACACCACTAAATATGCGCCAACTCTGAGGTATAACAGATAGCGATAGCTTGAGCTTCATTCGACTACATCTTAATGCTGTGAAAGTATGGCCGTTCAGGCTGCTCAACTGAACGCAGTGAATGTAAACATTAAAATGTGGTTATTGGGAATGAAAACAAATAATCTTGAATTAAAGCAGTCCAAACACCCATAAAACAACATACATGTTATTATGAAAACCAGAGAGTTAAAACTCACAGGCTTTTGATTTGTACAAAATCCTGTTACCACACAGAGACCCTTCCTCTGCACAGGTTATGGATGTGACCATTTCATGCTAAATTAACTTTTAAATACATCGACAGGAGAAAGGAAGACAGGGACAGGAAAACAAGAAACTACTGTTCAAAAGAAAGTGCTCCTCACCTTGTTGACCCAGGTCTCATATTTAGGCCCCACAGTGGTCAGGAACAAATCTGAAGTGAGAAGAAGGACAGAGACAAAGGAAGGAAACGTGTTAGTGATACAGAGGTTCATCTGGGGATTATATTCAAACTTCCAACAGAACTAATGATTCTTTATTCAGGGAACTTAGTAGATTGGTAGGAATTTGTATTTTTCTTGGTTGTTTTCCATCAGGTTGTGTTGCACTGTCCTCTGTCTTTTTATTTGTTGTGTTTTTGTCCACTGCTGTAAATCTAATTTCCCTTCCAGCGACAATAAAGGTCTGAACTGAACTGAGAGCCAAAAAAAAAGAAAACTCAGGATGTCAATCTGTGAACATTTGTAGAACTGATGAGCAGATCAGGAAACAACATTTCAATCAGTGCTTTGTTTATAAAGGAGTCTTTACCTCTATACAAAGTATAGCAATCAAGACAAGAATAGGCGTTTTATTACAGAGGTCTATATTTTAGATCATGTAAGATGTACAGATCTACCTGTTAATATCAGGAGTAAAAACATGATGGTGTTTGCACTTACTCAGTAGAGTAATACAGAACAAAATAAAAAGAGAATATGAGTGTGGATAGATGTGAAATGTCTACGGTTGATTCGTAATGAACAGAATTTGTTATGTTGTGACAGTTCTTTGACTCGGGCACTGACAGGTCGTGACTGTTGTGTGCAGAGAGGAAAGGTAGCATTCCTTGAGCAAAAAAGCAGCATGAACACAGATGAAGAAAAGGAAAAAAAAATGATAGTAGTGGGGGGGGGGGGGGGGGGATCTCCCACTGAAAGCAATAGGATTTTGTTCAGCTTTCTGGAGGCTTCACCCCCTGGTAATGCTTGCAGCTCGCTCGTATCGGAATCCTATAACCTGCACTTGTGCTCATGTGCTCCGCTCTCGAAGCTTAGGCTGCAGGCTGCACTTCTAATACTGCCTCTGTGTGCCGCTCTGAGAGGACGTTCATTTTCATCGCTGCATTCTTTCGGACTGTGGCCCTGCCCCAGTGATTGGACATGAAATAAATATTGGCATTGATCTGCCTTAGGGCCCCTGCTGTACTCCATGAGCTGCCGTGCGCTGCATGGTAAAATATAAACGGTAAAGGAATGAATGTAAAGAAGACAGGGGGAAGGATGTGTGGAAATACTGTGATATGCGCTCTATGGGATATAAGCTCTTTTTGTTATGAGGTGGGTATGTGCAAAGCTTCTTACTGGAGGTGAAAAATACGATTTATATAATGAATAAAAAAGTACACATTTCACTAAATGACTCTCTCTTTACATTGGCCGCATCACAAACCTTGTTCTAACCTTAAAGCACACATCCACCTGAGACCCCTGTTTATTCTCCCCTGCATGTGCTCTGAAATATTATCCCAGAATTCCACTGAAGTCGCCTCCAGCATAGAGGGAAAAGTCAGTAGAATGAAACAGCTTGCTCTAGGAAGCTTCAGGTCGGGGAGATTCAGAAGGATATCTTTTCTAAATCTCTGTATTTGTATGTCCCGCTGTGGTACATAATACCTTACTACAATAAATAATACCACAATACCTTTCCCTAACTTGCCTTGCACTATACAGGAATGCTTTGGTATACCAATAGTTAGTGAACACTCTTGGAAAAAGAATTGGCAATCATCTGACAACTGTGTGTTTTGGGGACGGAGGCCAACATTTTCCGGGCTTCAGACTGTATAAAACATGGACGTAGTATCAGTGATGTCACCCACTGGTATCTGAAGATGCATTTTGAAGCCAAACCATGATGGTTGTCATGTTGGAAATGCTACCGCCACCTTATTTTCAATAAATTTAGTAACAGGTAAAAAGTTGGGGATAAGGCAGGCCGTAAGCGACCTGACAAACAGCCTGTCAAGCAAGTCAACCCTGCCCCGATTGTGAAAAAGTATGCATAACTCTAAAAGCACTAATATAATGAAAACGGAATTAAAAAATGAGCAAAGCTAACAATCTGTTTTTGGTAGGTGGCTGTAAACGTGTTTATTTCTGCTGTCAAAATTAGCATTTAAATATGGATGTTAAAGGGGCTTGCAGGGCTTTTGGACCCAGCCTAAACACTAAAGGAAATGCACTTTTTGCATTTCTGTTTTGCCTTCAATTTTTAATACTGGGGATTGCTGCTAAGATGCAGCAAACGGGTACACATTCAGGGAAACCATACTGAACATATAGCAGCCATACATTCTCTTCCATTTAATAGAGTTGGCATGGAGACAGAACATCCATGACTGCAATTCTATACAGATATCTGCTTATTAGGATTGACAAAAAGCCAAAGTATCCTTAGATGATAGCTGATGGTCTTCAGAACTGCAATTCTGATACTGCCGTCTGCCTCCTTTGCTCTCCAAGTCGCCTGTTTCCTCTAATACAACCAACACCCAGTTAGTGCTGGGCGATATATTGTGAAGCTCGATTCGATCGATATTTAATTAATGCTTGATATGGAAAAGGGAACATCGATTTCATTTTTTAAACTATTTCAAAGTTTCCTCGCGATATTTCGTTCTCTCCCGCGAGCACGCTCGCTACACTCGAGTTGTACAATCGCACACAGATTTAAGCGCAGGTTTTCTCTACTAAAACACACGTTTGGTTTTTAAACACATCATATCCCGACAAAAGCCGAGCTTAAATCAGCATTCAAAGAAACAAATCACCAGAAAAGTCGAGTGACAGCAGGGCATGACGAAAACAGAAAGGAGAAAAGTTTGAGCCACAGTGACAGACAGCTGGAGGAGCTGGAACACGTTAAAGTTAAAGACTAGATCCTGGTAAAGATAAAAGTTATTCTGTCATGTCCAGCTCAGTGTCTTAGGTTGTTTTTATTTCTATCTTGTTTTATTTCCTGTTTTGGGTCACTAACTTCTCCTCTCGTTTCAGATCCGTCACTTCCTGCCCTCATGTGTTTCCCACCTGTGTGATTGTCTGCCCCGCCCTGATTGTTCCCAGCTGCATCTCGTTGTCTTCCCCCTCACCCTACTATTTAGTCTGTAGCTTCCCTTCCTTCTGTGCCAGTTCGTCTTCGACCCCTGTGAGAAGTGTTCAAGCCTTTTGTTTCCCCTTTCCCCTTGATCACTTTTTTGGATTGTATCTTCTTCAAGAGTAAAGACTGTATTTTTTCCCCCATCAAAGCCTGCGTTGTGAGTCGTGCTTTTGGGTTCAGTTACCTGTGGTGTTGTTACATATTCACAAAGCATCTTAACCCTGAAGAGAGCTCCTAAAGTAAAGATCTAAGGATGAAGAGTTTCTCACAGAAAAGAAAGAAGGAGAGATTCCAGCTCTATCACAGCCTCATTAATATCAGATTAAGTAGACTCTTACAGTTATGGTGAATAAACATCAGCACATAAATATAAGAAAAATACACAATATTTTTAGAGCTCAATTAATTTAATAAAAGTTGTAATTGACTTTTGCATCAGAATGGTTCAAGAGTAAATTGGTGACTGTTATTCTTCAAATCTAAAGCAAAGTTCCTGGGCCAGTGATTACAAAGGTCGGGCCAGTGATCTTTTTTTTTTATACAGTGGAGATTCAGTTAAATAGGCTACATTTATAAACTTTAATACGATAAATATCAAGTCATATCAAATATCGACATTAGGAAAAAAAATATTGTGATATCAAATTTAGGCCAGCACTACACCCAGTGAAGCGCTAGGGGAAAAGAACTACTTTAACAGTATAGAATATACACCCATTCTTCATTCACATGTGATTATGACTGTATATAGAGATTTCTGATAACAGAAACTACATTGTTTCCATTTGTGTGCTTTAGTTTCAGGACACTAAGTTGATCATAATATTTAAAGTCAATGGCCATATTCTTGTATTTGAATTTGGACAAAAATGGCAGCTTTGTTTGCGCACCAGACTACAGCTGCTGACAGCCATCATTTCTGAAACGTCCACATACAATCACACAGCCATCTCAATAATATTCATGCAAAATGAAAACTATTTTATACACTCAAAGGACTAAAACAACTTTCAATTTCCCAAAACTTTGTGGACTGGCAGGCATATAGCCCACACAGACTCAAAACCCTTTTACAAATGCAAAGAAGATAACTAATGCATGCATAGATTATGCAAAGTACTACACACACACACTATGCAGGATACAATTATAATTTCCACATTGTGTATCTCTGCTAGTGTCACTGTGTTTGTGTGTGTGTGAGTGTGTGTTTGTGGTCGCACTGGGTGGTGTGTTAATGAGCTTGGTTAATCAGCCAATCAGGCCTCTTAAACAGAATCCAGCCGTGATTGGATGATTAGGTGTAGCCGCGGCGTGCTGTTCAGAGTGGCATGGGGCAGACGTAGGAGCAGAGAGATGTTCATTTTGTAAACACTTAACATTCTCGCTGTGGGGGTTCTTCCTCTCCTCTTTCCATCACTTTTTTTTTTATACCCAAGTTCACTTCTGCCAAACTCTTTCCTCAACTAATCTCTCTACCTCCAGTCTATTACTAAATGCCAGTCCAAATTGAAACTGCCCAGTAATTCCTTTTAATGGTCGATTCTGAACTCTGCCGGGCGGTGCACTTAGGGAGTAAACTCAGGACTTGTAACTGGAAAGTGTCCTTCGTAGCACACTTAACTCTGTTTTTTTTTCCTTGGACAATGCACCACACAGGATTCTCCTTCTGTTCCTCCCTCCCTTATCCACAATCTCAGCCAGAACGTATTCTTCACAGTCTCATAAAGAGCTGCTAGCTAACTACATAAACCTAACTGCTGCCACCATCACTCACTTTTACACTGGTTTTACTGTTCATGAGACTTTTACTGTGCTGCCTTGAGCCTTTTAGAGATTTATTCAAGTTAAAAGAAGAACAGAACAAATGAGAACAGAAACACTGTGGATCAGAATTACGTGATCTTTATGTAATAAAGTACTTTGGTTCTTTTTTCACTGTGATAAAGGGGGTTGCCGTGGTGCAGGGCAGTGCAAGGCTCAGCCAAACAAAATAGGCAAGTTCACTTTGTGCTG